GGTGTGCGGTGACTAATCGGTTCCTCCTCAACCTCGACACACGACTGGACGAGCGAAGAACGACCGCCGCGGAAGTGGCGACCGACTTCACCAATACTCTCCTCGACGCAGCGCGGACGACCCTGGGGGAGGAACCGCGGAGACGTCGCACGCAGGAGTGGTGTGAGACCCCAGCGACGCGAACAGCGCTGGAGCAGGCCCTTACCAAACGTCGGGAAGCGCGCCGGGCGATGAGGGGCAACTGGAACTCAGCGACGTGGAGGGTTCTCAAAGCAGCGTGTAAGGGAGTGGCTACAGCAGTCGAAACGGGCATTTATGCCCACCTGGACGGATATGTGACTGAGCTCGAAGAAATCTCAAAGATCGCGACATGCGAGGACTGTACCAACACCTCAAGAGATCAGTGGGCCTCAGCGGGAGACAAGCGGGGGGACAGCAGCTCGTCGCGGATGAGAACGACGTGTTGCTCCGGAACAGGGACGACATCCTCCAGCGGTGGGCGAGATTCTTCAGCACCCTACTCAACACCAAATCCCCCACCCTGAACCCAGACATCATCGAACGAGTGACGCAGCGGCCAGCGACACGTGACACTCAACGGTTGGGAGATGTGCCAGAACTCGAGGAGGTGGCACGGGCAACGAAAGGCCTCAAGAACTGGAAGGCACCCGGCCATGACTCCCTCCCTGCCGAGTTGCTCAAGATCGATGACGACGAACCCTTCGTCCTGGGACACCTCCATACTATCCTCGTCAAGGTGTGGAACGGAGGAGATATTCCGCGAGAGTGGAAGAATGCAACCATCAAGGTGCTGTACAAGAAGGGTGACCGGTCCAACTGTAACAACTACAGGGGGATTTCGCTACTATCTCACGTAGGCAAGGTCCCCATCAAGATCATCACCAACCGTCTAAGCGCCTTCTGCGAAGCCAACAACATCCTCCCGGAGGAACAGTGCGGATTTCGACCCGGGCGATCCACCGTCGACATGCTGTTCGTCGTGCGCCGCCTCCAGGAGCTGGGGCGGAGAAAGAAATATCGCTCTACATGTGCTTCGTCGACTTGAACAAGGCGTAGGATTCGGTGGACCGAGAGATGCTGTGGAAGGTGCTGGCCAGGGCCGGGATTCCCGCAAAGCTGATCGAAGTCATCCGCCAATTCCACGATGGAATGCGGGCCCGGGTGCGCATGGACGACGGAGAACTATCGGACTGGTTCTTCGTGACACAGGGCGTGCGACAAGGATCAGTGCTATCCCCACTGCTGTTCAACATCTTCTTCGACGAGGTCCTCGAGGTCGTCGTCATCCGATTCATCGAGGATGATGTTGTTCTGCGGAGCCTGGTGTGCTTGGAGGAGGGGAAGACGGAAGCGGGGGGAGGAGACACCCCTTGGCCGAGTACGGAGGGCAGTATGGGGGATGCTGTATGCCGATGATGCCGGCGTCGTATCGAGGTCTGCAGAAGGACTGGCGAGAATGATGACCATCATCGTTGAGGTGTTCGGGGAGTTCGGGCTAACGGTGTCGGAGAAGAAGACGGAGACGCTCCTGATGCGCGCAAAGGACAAGCCGACTACAACATCACAGCCCGCCCCGCCTCCACCACTGACCATCGAAGCCGCGGGACAGAAATACGCCCAGACGACCGAGTTCCGGTACCTCGGTGGCCTCGTCAACGAACATGGCGACCTCACCCGGGAGATCAACTACAGGAGCAGAGGAGCGTGGGCGTGCCTCAGGCGATATGGCCGGGAGCTCTTCGACAGACCGCAAGCACCATTCCGACTCAAGATCCGCCTGCTCCAGGCGGAGGCGATGGAGGCACTGCTGTACGGTTGCATGACATGGTCACCACTCAGCGGCCACTATCAGACGCTGCGGTCGATACACCACCGACTGCTCCTTCGAGTTATCGGGTACAAGCGCAAGAGTGACACCTACCAGCAGCTCTCTTACGCTCAGACGCTGAAGAGGGTCGAATGTCAGAGCGTTGAAGCCACGATCCGACAACGACGCCTAC